GCTCCCCCCTTGCCATTTTTTGTCGAGTAGAGGAGTTTTTTCCTCTTCTCCTATTCTGCTCCCAAATTGTTATGCTGCTTCATGCTCTGTTATGCCCAAGTTGACCCTGAGAACGTTGCTCAGAAGATTGAATTTGCAGCAGTTGAGAATACGACCTCTTTTTGCTAAAAGAAGCAGCACTCCTTTCTAAAAGGAACATTTACTCTTAACCTTCAATTTTCTGAGCTCTCAAACGTCTCCTGTAGCTGGTGTGTGTTATCAGGTAACATTTTCACAGTTTGAATTTCTCCACTGCAGTAATGTTTAGATGTGTAGCTTCGATTTCATGTTTGTCTTTGTCCTGTTGCCTACGTAACAGGGTAGAGATTGTATTTTAGAAGACTGGACATCCTGAAACTTGCCTGCTACTTGGAGTTGAGTATAAGTGTCTTCCTCCAGGCTAGCTAAAAATGTTTTAAGAGTACTTGGGTTTTCTTAGGGAAGCTTAAAATGGTTAAATGACTGTTTTTGTTCGATTTGCTGCTTATTTTGGTTTAATTTGCCTTCTAAAATCCAACTGCACCTTTTCGTCTGGAAAAATGACTTATTTGCTGTACTTGCAAGATCTGCTTGCGTCTTTCAGGCCATGGTAACTGTGAAAAATATGTTCTCCCAAAGTGTTTTGGGGAAAGGCATGAAGAGGAATTTAAAAAATGCTGTAAGAGCAGATGAGTAAGTAGCTAGGATGTGACAGCAAGGTGTGTCAGGCAGGTGTGTGCCAGTAAGTAATATTTGTAATTTACTGTTTACTAGACCAGTTAAATTCCTATTTCAGAGCAAATAATGAACAGCTGTGACAGTTATTTTGTGTTCTTCTGCTACTTTAGTAATCTGTCCCTCTTATTCAACAGGATGCTTCGCCTTCGACTCCTTCCCATTGCAGCAGGGCTGTCTGCCGTCTCCCGGCGCTACCACGGGACAGCGCGTCACCCCGGGGCCAGGCGGAGGCTTGTGGTGGCAGCTTTCGTAGGGACCACGGCAGTGACAGCAAGTGCTAGATTCCTTTGGCAGAGGTAACATTTCTTTTGTTTCTTGCCCAAGACTTCATGCTACTTTAGTCCTGTGGAAAGCACCTGCTGGTACGCTGAAAATATACCAGAGGCTTTGTAAAGCGTTGCTGCTCGTCCTGCTTCTGCTAGGTGGGAGACACAGGCACGGCTGCTGAACAGGTGACTGCAGAGCTTCTCATACTCAGAGAGAGCAAGAAGGCTGCAGGCTGAAGAGTTGCTCTTTGTGGCTGTGCTGAGGCCAGCCTGTCTGCAGTTGGTGGGGTTTGCTGCCCGGCTCCCCGTGCTCTGCCGTTCTGCAGGTCTGTGGCGCTGTGCAAACTCATTCTGTTGACTTGACTAAGCCAGACAAAAATGTAGTACTTCCAGCTTCTGGAAGGGCTGCCAGGGAAAGCACGTGTAGTGGGTGGATGTTACATTAGTTTTCTTTGTACTCTGCTGACTGCCTCATATAAAATCTAGCGGGGGAGCAGAAGGGGACAGTCTACCTTTCAGTGGTAAAATAGCTGCAGGCAAGACTTTGGGTGTGTGTTTGGTGGGTTTTTTTAAGGCCCAGAGTTTATAAGTATATCGCCTCATGAGTCATGAGGCCCAGAACCTCTTTCCATAACTGTTAGGAGAAAGGCAGTATTTGTGTTTGCCTTAGAAACCTTCGCTGATCTCTGGGGCCGTGCCATGTTTGCAATAAATCAAGGAATCCTTTCACTTCACTTGAAACACGAAAGCAGCATGGCCCCAGCAGTGGCACTCGAGCCCAGGGCTGCAATTGCAAAATGTCTGAAGGTGAAGGCATCTCTGAAAAATGTGTCTTATTTCATTCCTGAAATTTTGGAGGTGGTTTCTTGCTGGCTCGCTTCCAGATCAGCAGGCACATCTGCCTCCTCCCCAGAGTCACAGTGAATTCCCCGAGCAGGCTTGGGATTTCTTGTTTGTTCTCTGCTAGCCTGTTTTGTGCCTCGAGGGCTCTAGTTTTAACATGAATGGGAGGAAAAAGATGCTAATTGTTCTGGTTACTCCTGGAGTTGCCAAGACTTTGTTTTCTGTTAAAAGGTGCTACCCAGACCTAGGAAGAACACCGTGATCGTGATCCGGTGCAGTCTCTTGTGATGCTACATTTTACTAACAAACTATGTTTACCTAACACTGCTCTATCTGCAGGGCCTAAATGCACAGCGCTGCAGCTCAGGGGAGATGGGACACTGCAGGTGTTGTACAGTGATGGCTGAGACATCACCCCTTCCCAGTCAGGGAAGGGAGCGCTTTTTTCATTTAAAACATCCTCAGTGTGATGGTAAAGTAGGTAGAACATAGTGTCCTAGCTCTCTAAGACACCTGGGTTAATCTCCCTCTTGCAAAAGATTCACCTGTGCTTTCAGAAATAGCCAGATTGTTAGTTGTTAGCTTTCCATTTTATCAGAAGACAGGTGCTTCCTGCAACAGAGCTGCTAATGGTATGTTGAGTGCTGGGTCAATAGTGATGGGAGGGAATTGTTAGCTCCTGTTCTGGCAGTACTTGGCTGGTCCTTAGAGGCTCCTCCGAGCTGTGACCAGGTTTGACCTTGCTCAGCTTAGAGTGCAGGTAACATCAGATAAAGGAGATAAGCAGTGTCTTTGCAGTAGGGTGATCTGTGATCTCCTGAGTTCTCATCAGTCTGGAGAGACTGATTTGCTCTTTTTTTTTTTTTTCCTTAAATGGTCTCCTTTTTTATAGATATTTGTAAAACACTAAATAGGATTGTACAGACTTGGAAGTAGTCCTTTCTTATATCAGCCATTGAGTAATCTGTGGTGTGCGTAACTGAAATAAAAGTACATTTGGGCTTATGATAGTCATTTAATTGCTTGACATATAGGTGTTAAAGAGGAGGAACAAAGCTGATGACTTGTGTGGAAAATCCTTGATACACTTACCTGTAGCAGTTCTAAATGGACTTTCAAATAAACCTTCTAACAGTGCTTAAATAAACAAGAGATGAGGAACTGCAAATTCTTTCGTGATACCTAAACTAGGTGATTAGGGGAGCTTAAAAATAAGTGAATACTGAATGCTTGTAATGACATCCTGGGTTATTCAGTCGTTTTACAACAAGTAGCACTACATATAAAGAATTAGTTATAAAAGCTAAATGACTTTATGTAATACATCCAGCCAAGGACCTGGGGATCAAAGAAGCCAAATGTCACTGAAAATGCCATGCGTGTACCTCAGAGAGTAACACAGACGTGCATCTATTTTAAGATTGTCCATAATTACTCTTAAGAGTAAGTGATTTTGATTTAATAAATGTTGCTGCAGTATCTAAATGGGAACCAAGTTAAGGAGGTTCTTTATGTAAAAAGACTGCTCTATTAGTGCAGTTAGTCTACAGATGACAGGCAATGCTTGTTTTCCTTCAATTAGTTAAGCAAATGTGCTTTTGTTGTTACATGAAACCTTGCTGTGCTGCACAGTTGGTCTCCTGAGGGGATCTGTATTTCTTAAGTGTGGCTCTCTTGCCGTTGCAAAGAGTTCCCTTCCCTTTGGTGATGGGTGATGCTCAGGAGCAACTTGCAGCTGCTAATGTTCTCCTTAACGTTGTGGGCTGTTTTACTGATGCTGTGGCCTGTCGTTGCCTTTGAATAAGGAACCCCGTTAGTGATGCTCTTTAGCAGGCTGTCACTGAAGCTTCCTTTTGAGATGACTTTTGCGTGGTCTCCCTCTGCTTCGTCCCTCCCCCCCTTATAATTCTTTAAAGTTACGGCATTAAAGATGTAATAGGCCAAATCAGGAAGCAGTTGAAAATCTTATGCTTCTTGGGCAAGCAGAAAGCGAGGTAAGTAGGAAATGATGCTTCTCTTGTCCTTCTAAGACTGCAGATATGCTGGTGGGACCTTCACATTTAATCTGCCTCTGCAGTGGGGTCCGATACCGGGGTGTGCGCTTACTTCCTTCTGTCCTCTGTGATCTGCTGCTGCATGCTTTCAGTGGAATATATCTAACCTAAATAATTACACAAAACAAGTAACTAATGCTGCTGCATTCTGCTGTCATGAACTGTACTTCACGAATGCAAATAACAGAGCTTAGACTAATGAATTCACCATTTTTAAGCCATAACTTACGCTCTTGGGACTTGCATCTGGCAACAGAAGCAATTAAATATCCGGGCACTGATATAATAAACGGAATTAACTAATTAATTGAAATAAATCTTGGTGCAATCATTGACTAATCTAAATGAGGCATTAATATATGAGAACTACTGAACCTTATAGTTTGCTGCAAGCTTAATGTTTGTCTAAAAAAAAAATTCTGTTACTGATAGTCTTGTGAAACTTGTCTCCATTTGTAGTTCAAAATACTGATCTGGTATATTATTAAATGTCTAAAGATTTATTTTCTTTGTCACAAACCATCCTGACTGTTAGAATCTGTGGGCAGTGGACAGCTGAAAGTCTTAAAATTGGCATTTCAATTCTGAAACTTGTCACTAAATCAACCTGGTATTGAATGAAATTAATGTTTGAGCAGACTTCCACTCTTTAGATGTTTCTCTTTCTTGCTGGAGCTAAGCAGATGCTCATTTTCTGCACAGAAAGCTGGCCAGGTGCATATGACTACTGCTTTCTAAAAATCTATTAGGCTTGTTTTTCATTAGGCTGAACTGTTTATATTTTTTCAAAACATAAACAAGATGAAGTATGTTGGCTTTGGTGCCCTGAGTGAAGAGCTATGCCGTTGTTACAGGTTTTTCCTTTTTGGTGTCTTAGAAAATTCTCTTTCTTGCTAAAAAGAGGGAACAGCATTTTAATGACCTATATATGTTTTCAATGTAAAACCTTGCATTGATGAAGCCTTAAAATGCTTGGCAGCTCAGAATCCTGGACTAGCAAGCTTAGAGCTTGATGTTAAGCAGAGGTGAGAAGAGCAAAGAATAGTTATAGTCAGTTTGGAGATAACTCTAGTGTGGATGACCTAGTCTGGACTCGTGGAGGGATCTCGTGGAGCCGCGTAAGTCTGTGCTGTGATCCTTCAGGGAAACTGAAAAACCTGCATCTCATTCTCCTGGCAGTGGTTGTGCTTTAAGGTTACCATTGATCGGAAGCTGGGGGACGGTGTGCTGCCCGGGCTGGTTGAGCTGCTGCAAGAAGGGAGGGAGACCGTCCCTTTTGGAAATACAGAAGGATTGCTAAGCAGTGTTAGGAGTGCTGTTCCTGATAGACTTGAATTCTTTGGTTGCATTTAATTTCTTATCCTTCATTAAACATATTAGCAGTAATAAGAGCAAGACATCTGTGTTGCTCTGGAAGTTGGTTACCAATGAGGTTCTGTGCTACCAGCATGCTTCTGTCTTGCACAGTGCTCTGCCTTACTTTGCCTCAGCCCCTTGGCTTTATTCTGTGCTGTTTTGGTCTTGCCCCATCCGGTGCAGAAGTGTAAGCCCTTGAGCTTAAGATGCTAAGATACCTGTTCCCCAAGTGCTATGGTGTAATTTCATTCTGGAAGAACCTTTTTTTTCTTTTTTCTTTTTCTTTTTTTTTCCCCTCCTTCCCCCTACCCCCCAGGCTCTGCTCTGCTTAGGCAAGCTTAGCTATTTTGATGTTGGTTGTTGCCTCTGCTGAAATAGATTGCGTGTTCATTTCATCTTTACCATTTCTTACTCCCTTCTTCCTGATGTTCTCCTTGGGCCATCCTTCATCAATTCTCTGATTGCTTTCCTGAAAAATTCTCTGGAGAAAAAACTATTTCTTTGTAATCTTCCTCACTCTGCTGACACAAAAAGCTTCACTGCTTTTGTCTTCCCTTCACATGGGTACTCTCCTTCAGTGCTTCTGGAATTAATTTTGAAGCACAGATCAGCCTTTAGCTACCTCTATTTAAGAATGTATTGCTTTTTCCATCATAGTCTTGGGGGCTTTAGGTAATTTGCTTAGAATACATTTTTAATAGCAAGACTGATGGAAATATTTCATGTCAACTGAAACACGTTTAATTTTTGTTCTAGCGAAACAAAGAAAACCACATA